ACTCAACTGTTGTAACTTTTTCCCCCCCCCCCCCACTGCACCCCTACCGGGTCCACTTCTTGCTGCCCATTCATTCCTATGAGAGAGCCGTACCCATGGTGGGCTATGACTGTGTCCAGCAGAGTTCGGCTCACCCATAGGAATGAATGGGAAACGAGGAGGAGGACACAGCCTGGAGGTTGGCATTGCTAAGGCTGCACAATGAATATCGCTGGAGCGGAGAGAAAGGTATTGCACACTGCACTCCGGACGATGAGGGGTTAATTAAAGGGCAACCCCCCTCTACAGTGAACCTGAGCTTCTCCTAGGCAGGCTTCTAATAGATCTTCCCTGTCCTATGTTATAGAGGACGCTGAGGAGGAAGTGAAAGACGGACCGGAGGCACCACGGGCCGAGGCTGGATCCCTCTGCAGGAACTTGGCAGCGTTCTGGTAAGTAAGAGGGGGGATGAAGCATCTGACTGTCCCCCATCAAACCCTTAGAAGGACAGGTGCCCTTTTATTCTGCCTTTGCTGGATGCATGCGGGTGCCCTGGGCAAGAGTGGATTTCCCCTGTGTCACTGTACCTTTAAGAAGGAATGTGGGAATCTTATCACCTTAGAGCGGGGGTGGGCAACCCTCCAGCTGTGCTTTAACTACAAATCCCATCATCCCTCTGCCTCTGGGAGTGATGCCTGAAACTAGGGATGCACCAATACCGATTTTTCGGTATCAAGTACGAGTACCGATATTTTGCTTTCAGTACTCGCCGATACCGAGTACCGATACCAGTGCTTCTGCTGCCATGGAGCCGACTTCCCGGGCAATCTGGCTCCATGTTCTTTGGCCGGCTCAATGCTGATTGGCTAGGGAGCCGGCTTCCCAGCCAATCAGCATGGAGCCGGCTTCCCGACCAATCAGAAAGCCGGGAGGTGAGTAATGACCAGCCTCCCAGCTTCCTGATTGACCGGGAAGTCGGCTTATTGCTGTTTGGCCAGTTCAATGCTGGTTGGCCAGGAAACCGGTTTCCAAGCCAATCAGCATCAAGCCGGCTGAACAGCCGGCTCGATACTGATTGGCTGGAAAGCAGGCTCTCCAGCCAATCAGCATGGAGCCAGCTTCCCGGCGAATGAGCACGGAGCCGATACTAGTATTGGTATCGGTGCATCCCTACCTGTAACTGTCAGTCTTGCAATACCTCATGGGACTTGTAGTTCCACAACAGCTGGAGGACTGGAGTTGCCTACCCATGTCTTAGAGGGGTGCCCCCCACCCCCAAATCTGTCCCTGATCTTTACAGCAAACAGCTCCGATCCCTACAGCATCCTCACTGCAACCCAGATCCATATAACGAACAAATCACATTTCTGACCCGCCTCCTGCCACCCTCTACAGCTTCCTATTGGCCAACAGATGGACTGGCGGCCTCACTGGATAGGCTGGTGCAGAGAGGAGCAGGAAAGGTGTTACATTAGGTTTTGGTGAATGCATGCTGGAAACTTCTTAAAGTATGGATTTGGGGATGGGGGGGGGGCTTATAAGTGTACACCTGGAGTTGGGCTTTATTATTATTATACAGGATTTATATAGTGCCAACGGTTTGCTCAGCGCTTTACAATTAATGGTTATTGCCATTGCGGTCCATTAATTAACAGTTTGCAGGGCCTTTCACTCTGCAGATATCTGTGAACATTCGTTCTGTGCGAATAGAGGCAAAAACGAATGTTCTTAGTGTATTTTCATCGAATACATCGAATGTATTGCGATGTAATACCACATTAGGACCACTAGATGGCGCTGACGAGCATAGGAGTGAGGTATCTATTTGTAATGCTCTTCAGCACCATCTAGTGGCCATAAGAGGAGGTCGTCTTAGTATTTCTTATTATCAGGTTCACGTCATGTGAAAATTATTTGGAGGTTTCTTGTGTCAGGTAGAAGCTCGTTGTGTGTCTGTGACATTCTTACGTTGCTGCGTCTCGTCCTTCATTGTCTCGCAGGTTGCTGGGTCTGTGTAATAACTTTGCCTACGTGGTGATGCTGAGTGCAGCCCATGACATCCTCCGGACAGAGACCAACGAGACCTCGACGGTGAGTGATCCCGGGGCAGAGTCCACTCACAATGCATCAGTCAAAGCCGACCATGGGGACCAATCAGAGTCCAGTCATGTGTTCTAGCAAGTTCCTCCGTCCTCCCCTTCAGTCTTGCACAGTTGTACCGGCTCCTCCTCTCTTCCTCTGATGTCACTGCACACTGGGAGCTTCCCACATTGTACATTAGAAGCTGCAGCAAGTCAGATAGAGCTCCGCCTCATTTCCTGGCTGGAGGGCATCCAGCATCATTTAGCACTTTCCTTCCCAGTCAGACTGTCTCTGGCCCCGCCCCTTTCATTCATTGGATTTCAGTTCTTTCAGTCATGGAGGCTCAGCGTCACATGTGGGAGTTCTGCTGATATATGGAGGGGAATGTAACTGGTGATGTTTTCATTGATGTCAATTCTCTTTTTATTCTAGGTGAATGTTACCAATTCCAGCAGCCGGTATGACTGCAATCAGATGTCCACCGCTGTATGTATTCCCCCAACTTCCTGCCCGACTTCCTGTCTGAGACCAACTATTGTCTGATCATAAGATGAATTATTCCTCCGTCTCTTTCTCTGACACTCTCTGTCTATTTGTATCATTTCTCTGCTCTCCTCCCTCTCTCCTCCCACTCCTCTGCTCTCTCCCTCTCTCTGCTCTCTCCCTCTCTCTCTGCTCTCTCCCTCTCCTCTGCTCTCTCCCTCTCCTCTGCTCTCTCCCTCTCCTCTGCTCTCTCCCTTTCTCTGCTCTCTCCCCCTCCTCTGCTCTCTCCCTCTCCTCTGCTCTCTCCCTTTCTCTGCTCTCTCCCCCTCCTCTGCTCTCTCCCTCTCCTCTGCTCTCTCCCTTTCTCTGCTCTCTCCCCCTCCTCTGCTCTCTCCCTCTCCTCTGCTCTCTCCCTTTCTCTGCTCTCTCCCCCTCCTCTGCTCTCTCCCTCTCCTCTGCTCTCTCCCTTTCTCTGCTCTCTCCCCCTCCTCTGCTCTCTCCCTCTCCTCTGCTCTCTCCCTTTCTCTGCTCTCTCCCCCTCCTCTGCTCTCTCCCTCTCCTCTGCTCTCTCCCTTTCTCTGCTCTCTCCCCCTCCTCTGCTCTCTCCCTCTCCTCTGCTCTCTCCCTTTCTCTGCTCTCTCCCCCTCCTCTGCTCTCTCCCTCTCCTCTGCTCTCTCCCTTTCTCTGCTCTCTCCCCCTCCTCTGCTCTCTCCCTCTCCTCTGCTCTCTCCCTTTCTCTGCTCTCTCCCCCTCCTCTGCTCTCTCCCTCTCCTCTGCTCTCTCCCTTTCTCTGCTCTCTCCCCCTCCTCTGCTCTCTCCCTCTCCTCTGCTCTCTCCCTTTCTCTGCTCTCTCCCCCTCCTCTGCTCTCTCCCTCTCCTCTGCTCTCTCCCTTTCTCTGCTCTCTCCCCCTCCTCTGCTCTCTCCCTCTCCTCTGCTCTCTCCCTTTCTCTGCTCTCTCCCCCTCCTCTGCTCTCTCCCTCTCCTCTGCTCTCTCCCTTTCTCTGCTCTCTCCCCCTCCTCTGCTCTCTCCCTCTCCTCTGCTCTCTCCCTTTCTCTGCTCTCTCCCCCTCCTCTGCTCTCTCCCTCTCCTCTGCTCTCTCCCTTTCTCTGCTCTCTCCCCCTCCTCTGCTCTCTCCCTCTCCTCTGCTCTCTCCCTTTCTCTGCTCTCTCCCCCTCCTCTGCTCTCTCCCTCTCCTCTGCTCTCTCCCTTTCTCTGCTCTCTCCCCCTCCTCTGCTCTCTCCCTCTCCTCTGCTCTCTCCCTTTCTCTGCTCTCTCCCCCTCCTCTGCTCTCTCCCTCTCCTCTGCTCTCTCCCTTTCTCTGCTCTCTCCCCCTCCTCTGCTCTCTCCCTCTCCTCTGCTCTCTCCCTTTCTCTGCTCTCTCCCCCTCCTCTGCTCTCTCCCTCTCCTCTGCTCTCTCCCTTTCTCTGCTCTCTCCCCCTCCTCTGCTCTCTCCCTCTCCTCTGCTCTCTCCCTTTCTCTGCTCTCTCCCCCTCCTCTGCTCTCTCCCTCTCCTCTGCTCTCTCCCTTTCTCTGCTCTCTCCCCCTCCTCTGCTCTCTCCCTCTCCTCTGCTCTCTCCCTTTCTCTGCTCTCTCCCCCTCCTCTGCTCTCTCCCTCTCCTCTGCTCTCTCCCTTTCTCTGCTCTCTCCCCCTCCTCTGCTCTCTCCCTCTCCTCTGCTCTCTCCCTTTCTCTGCTCTCTCCCCCTCCTCTGCTCTCTCCCTCTCCTCTGCTCTCTCCCTTTCTCTGCTCTCTCCCCCTCCTCTGCTCTCTCCCTCTCCTCTGCTCTCTCCCTTTCTCTGCTCTCTCCCCCTCCTCTGCTCTCTCCCTCTCCTCTGCTCTCTCCCTTTCTCTGCTCTCTCCCTCTCCGCTCCCACACTCTCTCTCACCTTTATCTCCTCTCTCTTATTCTCCTCTTTCTCTCTCGCAGGCCGTCCTCCTGGCTGACATTTTGCCCACATTGGTCATTAAATTCACCGCCCCGCTCTACATAGAGCAGATTCCTTACAAGTAAGTCACATTTTATGTTATTTCCATATCCCTCAGCGCTGTACATGGATATAGCTCTGACATATACCGCAGCGCTGTACAGAGAACACTGAGCCAGTCACATCAGTCTCTGTACAGAGGAGCTTACACTCTAATGTCCCCCCACAGTCGCATCAGTCTCTGTACAGAGGAGCTTACACTCTAATGTCCCCTCCACAGACACATCATTACTATACATTTATACAGCACATATACTGTAGTGCTGTACAGAGAGCACTGAGGCAGTCCTATCAATATGCACCAGAGGAGCTTACACTCTAATGTCGTACAATAGTCACAGATAAATGACAGGAAATGAAGTCCGGGGCCGGGTAGCCTCCGAGCAGAGAGAGCTGTAGGTGGGATTGATCCCAATGTTACAAGGAGGCGGAGCTGACCATTGTGCCGGCACATCCTTCTCTCTGGTGTTGTGTCATGGATGTCTCCCCCGTCTCTCAGTTACAGGGTCATTGTGTGTATCATCACCGCGGCCAGCAGCTTCCTGATCGTCTCCTTCTCCACAGACATAGCAGTGAGCCTGCTGGGTGAGTATCCGTGGTCTCCATGTATACAATGTTCACTCTCATAGCCCATGTCTGCTCCGTGCTTGGACAATTTATTTATTTTTGTTCCAATTTAATGCCCCCCCTCTCCCCCAGGTGTGGTGTTTGCCAGCGTGTCCTCCGGATTGGGTGAGATCACCTTCCTCAGCCTCACCGCTTTCTTCTACAGGTAACTAACTCAACCGTGCTACGTCACTTATTTAGTAACGTAGAAATGCATTGCTATATCTCAGACCAGCCCCATTTCCTGCACCCCTCAGATCTCCCCAATTCCTGCACCCCTCAGATCATCCCAATTCCTGCACCTTCACCCCTCAGATCATCCCAATTCCTGCACCTTCACCCCTCTGCCCACCCCCAATTCCTGCACCTTCACCCCTCAGCTCACCCCAATTCCTGCACCTTCACCCCTCAGATCAGCCCCAATTCCTGCACCTTCACCCCTCAGATCACCCCAATTCCTGCACCTTCACCCCTCAGATCAGCCCCCATTCCTGCACCGTCACCCCTCAGATCAGCCCCCATTCCTGCACGGTCACCCCTCAGATCAGCCCCCATTCCTGCACCGTCACCCCTCAGATCAGCCCCCATTCCTGCACCAACAGATAATTAGTAGTTTTACATTAACATCTGGTGCAGCTGGCAGTTCCACTAGAAGGAGGAAGAGGTAGTTGTGACCGGCTTCTTCACATGGTGTCCCCGGCCATAGGCTGGCCTATGCTAGTACTGGGAGGAGGGCCGGGACCTAAAGGTCAACGTCAGGCAGGTCTTTCTGAAACATTATGGAGGTGGGTGGGCTGGGGGCTCAGTCTTTGTGATTGGCAGCCTAGTGAGCTGTGTTACACCCAACATCAGTGGTGCTGTATTTGTACAGAGCAGGGGCCCACCGAATGACCCTTCTGTCCTCTGGTGGGCCAGCATGAGGCTATGCGCATGCCATGTTACATGGTGTGCCCACCCTGGCACACATGCCTTAGCTGTTGGGAGCTGGACACAGCAACCTCCGGCTGACAAGGCAGTGCCGAAAAAGTACTCCGGACTCCGCCTCTGCATGGTGAAGTTACTTTAGTTACTCTACCTTCAGACGACCCAAGTTCCCTATAAACACATAATGTACATGTTTTTTTTCTCTTCCTGCCTCTCTTTTGATTGGCCCTTGTGTCCTCCTGTCAGTGACGTGGTGTCATATTGGTCCTCTGGGACGGGTGGAGCCGGTATCCTGGGCGCGCTCTCCTATCTGGGACTCACAGTGGCCGGTCTGTCCCCCCGGAACTCCCTGCTGGTCATGCTTATTATCCCCACTCTGCTCCTGATAAGGTGAGTACCGGAATTGCGACACCTCCAGTGCGAATTCATTGCATTAGTTTCATTTAAATGACATTTTGGATTACGTCTTATTAAATCTTCAAAATATCTAAAGAAACTGTTGCGGGATGCCTCGAGGTAAAATAAAACTGACACGTGTCCTGATCTCCTCTGTTTCAGTTATTTTATCCTCTTACTCCCCCCGTCCTCACTCCCTCGTTGGAAGTTACCTGAAGGACGCAGTAGCACCCTTCCTGCTCACCGGCAACCTCTGCTGAATGACTCCGCCCCCCGGCAGACAGGTACTCTTTGCACGCTGGAACTGTATGATTAAAGGCAAAACTTCCTGTCCTGTACACACCACAGTGATAGGACATCTTTTTAAGCTAGGAGTTCAGCTTTAACCGTGGAAGGATTATTAGTGGGAGTCGTGTCTGTCTTTCTGGACTCTATAGCCTGTAGAGCAGTGGTTCTCAACCTGTGGGTCGCAAGCCACAGTTGAGGGGGTCGCCATGTGCCTTGCTAGGTAAAATACTTCTTAGCCTCCTCCTAGCACAGCGGTGTCAGTTCTCCTAGATGGCGCTGCAACAGCGGCGCCCGGAGGGGATCTGAGAGAGGGGAGCAGGCAGGAGTGCTCGATCACCAAAGAGCCACACTGGGCACCACAGAGCCTGCACTGGCCGCCACCAGAGATTCCCACTAGCTGCTTGAGAGCCCGCATAGCCTCCTGAGAGCCCACATAAATACTAGTATTGGTGCATCCCTACATTTTACGGTTGGGGGTCACCACAACTTGGCAAATGTTACCAAGGGGTCCCGGTCCTAGAAAGGTTGAGAACCACTGCTGTAGAGGTTATATAGAACTGTACAAAAAACATCCACCGGTACAAGACATCCAAGAGATTGTATATAAATGATCCCTGGAATGGTCAATGTGATCGTGTAATACATTGTAATATCCACAGCGATCCTCCGGGTCCAGGAACAGCCGCTGTGCTAAGCAGCTTCCTCTGCGCTGTTTAAACACAGCGGGTCTCTCGCTCAGCACAGCGGCCATTCACAGGACGCCTAGTATTCTTCTTAATAAATACTAAGTGTTCTCTAATTGGACGAGGGGTGGCTCCGTCATATCGGGCATAATAGCCACTCACTAATTACTACACGTAGAACACTGACACAACCCTGGCACATCTCTTCATAGTAAACTTATCACTTTGATCAGTTTTTTTCAACACTAAAAGTGACCATGACTGATCTGTAATGATGAGTTTTGATTGGGTGACTGTTGCTGTATTCTTCTAGATCCTCATCTGACGCCATCCAGTCCTCATCTGACGCTTTATCAGAAGTGGCAAATCATTAAGGTGAGACAAAGATGATGTAAGAGTATTAAAGGTGACCCTATACTGTGTGAATGTGAAGGCGGGCCACTCCTTCTGAAAATACTACCTGGAGTAATAAACCCTTTCATTGTGTACAGCACACATTTAGGTGTTTAGGTGGGTAGAGAATCCCCCAGAGCATGGGCAGGTACATCCCCCACCTCACCTGCCACATAGCCATTCTTATATAGATATATATCTATATATAATATATCTATCTCTATCTATCTATCTATCTAGATAGATAGATAGAGATATATATATATACATACATATATATTGTTTTTTTATGAATAAAATTGATTGAGTCTAATACTTGTCATATATGGTACAAGTAAAGTTCGGCAGAGTGTTTCACAGTTGTTGGATATGAATGACATAGTAGATATAATGATTCATTGTATTTGCTTAATGACACTTGCAGGTTATCTACGAGTGTCATTTTAGATAGGAGGGGCAGTATTTTGGCAGGCTCACTTGCTGTGTAATGCAAAGCAATTCTTTGTAATTTTTGCCAGTAATGGCCGATAATAGCCACAGGTGGACGGGTGGGAGAGGACCTGTACATAAGAAATGTGTCCTATAAACATTGTTGACATTTATTAGGACGTATCTCTTCCATTCAAGTGGTTAATAACTGTTGGAAACAACAGAAGAGATTGATATGTGTACGGTGGCGTCTCATGCAGTCTCTTGCTTTGTCCCTCACAGTCTCTACTGAAGTATATGGTTCCCCTGTCTCTGGTATACTTTGCTGAATACTTCATTAACCAGGGCTTGGTGAGTACGGCGTTTCCCGGGTGGTAGATGGAGAGGAGTGTATCAATGCCATGTAATAATGTTTCGTTATCCCTTTTTTCTCCTAGTTTGAGTTAATTTACTTCCCTCACATCACGATGAGCCACTCGGAGCAGTACAGATGGTAAGTCAGTCTCTTAGACCCCCATCCGGAACCTTCTGTACCCTCGGGCAGTCATGTCACAGTGCACAGTGAAGTCTCTGCAGGCTCTATAAGTAAAGGATGTCACCAGCACACCAGGCCACTCGGGGTCCCTTCATCAGGCAGGCCTTCATGAATGGCCCCTAAACGTTGCTATGTGACAAGATGTGTGCGCATCAATAAAATGATCACTTCGTGAAGATTTAACCACGGTGTGCTGGTGATATACTTCACTACTTGAATCTGAAGTGGCGCCGTCCGCAGTCACTACAGCACCCACCACAAGGGACAGACCAGTAAGGAGTGTGGTAGGATTCTTCTGTATTCTCTCTTCTCTATTACACCCCAAGTTGGATACTACTATTATACTACCGGATATGTAGAGCGGGGATTGGCGGGTCGTCTTAAAGCCCAACTTTAGCCAAAAACTTTTAGTGCAGGGAAGAGTTAGGGTATCTGTTGGGGGGGGGATTTCCCATTCCCTTCCCTGCTCTTCTCTTTTCTCCTCTTCATCTATTTTCTAATGTCATACTTATCAACAAATTAGTCACAGTCCCCTGAACCCCCAAAGCCCACACTTGGCACCCCTACTTTATTGGTAGGCACTTCCAGACCATGCCCACTTTCTGGCATGGCCCCTTCCCCAAATATTGCAGGAACCGCCTCTTATGGCCGCAATCCCCTCAGTTAATACCATTTTTCTTTAAAATGACTACACATGCTCAGTAACTCGGATAAGGGGGATGCTGTGATCCCGGGACACAACATAACCCGGACACAGGTCGGAGATGAGGGACTGTCTTGGCAAATCCGGGACAGTTGGCATCTATGTAATGGGTATAACTCTCTTCGACAAGGAAGCAGAATAGTGGTTTGGGGTATAAGCTGAGCAGGTCAGGATTCTGGTGCAGGTCTCCTTCATCACATGTAGCACCCTCTATCAGGGATGTCAAACTCAATTTAATCGTGGGCCTCATCAACATTATGGTTGCCCCCAAAGGGCCTGTAAGACTATATAAATGTGTCTAATCTTTATCATAATTGCCTCTGCATTTGATTATCACTGGTTGTAGTAATAACTTAATACCTAGATCTGAAAGTAGAAGTCTAGGAAATGGCTTGGTGGGCCGGATTCGGCACACCAGGTTTTAGTTTGACACATGTGCTCTAAGTGAATGAGCAATCATAATACACTGGGCTGTTCATAATGGTGCCCACTGCCTTTGTCTCTCTACAATGTCTAGTTTCCCACTAACACCTACTTAGGGGTCTGTGTGGATGGCATCAGTTTAAGACACTTCACAGATCATTCCGAATTTGTCGACAGGTGCATCTGACCTGCATTCATCCCCCTCCTGACCTGCATTCGTCCCCCTCCTGACCTGCATTCGTCCCCCTCCTGACCTGCGTTCGTCCCCCTCCAGACCTGCGTTCGTCCCCCTCCAGACCTGCGTTCGTCCCCCTCCAGACCTGCGTTCGTCCCCCTCCTGACCTGCGTTCGTCCCCCTCATGACCTGCGTTCGTCCCCCTCATGACCTGCATTTGACTTGCTTTTCACAGGTTTTGCATCCCCATAGACAACATAGTATGGGATCCAAAACCCATTTGAAGCGATCAAAAGCCCTAAATGGGCAAGATGCAATAACTGATAGCAAACCAGACAAACCAAGGGGCGGGTAGGTCAGTGTAAGCTGAATTCTGATTGGTTGCTATGGGTTCCTGCACATTATGTAGGTTTCTTTTGCCTTTTGTTTGCTGCATGTCATCGGTTGTCTCTTTTTCAGGTATCAGATGCTGTACCAGGCCGGAGTGTTTATATCTCGATCGTCTGTTCGCTGTGTCAAAATTAGACATATATGGGTCCTTTCGTGTCTCCAGGTAAGAAAACACCTTTCATAGAAAAGCGCCAGGCTGCTTTATATATATATATATATATATATTTATTATATATAGATATAGATATATATCTATATATAATATATCTATCTCTATCTATCTATCTATCTAGATAGATAGATAGAGATATATATATATACATACATATATATTGTTTTTTTATGAATAAAATTGATTGAGTCTAATACTTGTCATATATGGTACAAGTAAAGTTCGGCAGAGTGTTTCACAGTTGTTGGATATGAATGACATAGTAGATATAATGATTCATTGTATTTGCTTAATGACACTTGCAGGTTATCTACGAGTGTCATTTTAGATAGGAGGGGCAGTATTTTGGCAGGCTCACTTGCTGTGTAATGCAAAGCAATTCTTTGTAATTTTTGCCAGTAATGGCCGATAATAGCCACAGGTGGACGGGTGGGAGAGGACCTGTACATAAGAAATGTGTCCTATAAACATTGTTGACATTTATTAGGACGTATCTCTTCCATTCAAGTGGTTAATAACTGTTGGAAACAACAGAAGAGATTGATATGTGTACGGTGGCGTCTCATGCAGTCTCTTGCTTTGTCCCTCACAGTCTCTACTGAAGTATATGGTTCCCCTGTCTCTGGTATACTTTGCTGAATACTTCATTAACCAGGGCTTGGTGAGTACGGCGTTTCCCGGGTGGTAGATGGAGAGGAGTGTATCAATGCCATGTAATAATGTTTCGTTATCCCTTTTTTCTCCTAGTTTGAGTTAATTTACTTCCCTCACATCACGATGAGCCACTCGGAGCAGTACAGATGGTAAGTCAGTCTCTTAGACCCCCATCCGGAACCTTCTGTACCCTCGGGCAGTCATGTCACAGTGCACAGTGAAGTCTCTGCAGGCTCTATAAGTAAAGGATGTCACCAGCACACCAGGCCACTCGGGGTCCCTTCATCAGGCAGGCCTTCATGAATGGCCCCTAAACGTTGCTATGTGACAAGATGTGTGCGCATCAATAAAATGATCACTTCGTGAAGATTTAACCACGGTGTGCTGGTGATATACTTCACTACTTGAATCTGAAGTGGCGCCGTCCGCAGTCACTACAGCACCCACCACAAGGGACAGACCAGTAAGGAGTGTGGTAGGATTCTTCTGTATTCTCTCTTCTCTATTACACCCCAAGTTGGATACTACTATTATACTACCGGATATGTAGAGCGGGGATTGGCGGGTCGTCTTAAAGCCCAACTTTAGCCAAAAACTTTTAGTGCAGGGAAGAGTTAGGGTATCTGTTGGGGGGGGGATTTCCCATTCCCTTCCCTGCTCTTCTCTTTTCTCCTCTTCATCTATTTTCTAATGTCATACTTATCAACAAATTAGTCACAGTCCCCTGAACCCCCAAAGCCCACACTTGGCACCCCTACTTTATTGGTAGGCACTTCCAGACCATGCCCACTTTCTGGCATGGCCCCTTCCCCAAATATTGCAGGAACCGCCTCTTATGGCCGCAATCCCCTCAGTTAATACCATTTTTCTTTAAAATGACTACACATGCTCAGTAACTCGGATAAGGGGGATGCTGTGATCCCGGGACACAACATAACCCGGACACAGGTCGGAGATGAGGGACTGTCTTGGCAAATCCGGGACAGTTGGCATCTATGTAATGGGTATAACTCTCTTCGACAAGGAAGCAGAATAGTGGTTTGGGGTATAAGCTGAGCAGGTCAGGATTCTGGTGCAGGTCTCCTTCATCACATGTAGCACCCTCTATCAGGGATGTCAAACTCAATTTAATCGTGGGCCTCATCAACATTATGGTTGCCCCCAAAGGGCCTGTAAGACTATATAAATGTGTCTAATCTTTATCATAATTGCCTCTGCATTTGATTATCACTGGTTGTAGTAATAACTTAATACCTAGATCTGAAAGTAGAAGTCTAGGAAATGGCTTGGTGGGCCGGATTCGGCACACCAGGTTTTAGTTTGACACATGTGCTCTAAGTGAATGAGCAATCATAATACACTGGGCTGTTCATAATGGTGCCCACTGCCTTTGTCTCTCTACAATGTCTAGTTTCCCACTAACACCTACTTAGGGGTCTGTGTGGATGGCATCAGTTTAAGACACTTCACAGATCATTCCGAATTTGTCGACAGGTGCATCTGACCTGCATTCATCCCCCTCCTGACCTGCATTCGTCCCCCTCCTGACCTGCGTTCGTCCCCCTCCAGACCTGCGTTCGTCCCCCTCCAGACCTGCGTTCGTCCCCCTCCAGACCTGCGTTCGTCCCCCTCCTGACCTGCGTTCGTCCCCCTCATGACCTGCGTTCGTCCCCCTCATGACCTGCATTTGACTTGCTTTTCACAGGTTTTGCATCCCCATAGACAACATAGTATGGGATGCAAAACCCATTTGAAGCGATCAAAAGCCCTAAATGGGCAAGATGCAATAACTGATAGCAAACCAGACAAACCAAGGGGCGGGTAGGTCAGTGTAAGCTGAATTCTGATTGGTTGCTATGGGTTCCTGCACATTATGTAGGTTTCTTTTGCCTTTTGTTTGCTGCATGTCATCGGTTGTCTCTTTTTCAGGTATCAGATGCTGTACCAGGCCGGAGTGTTTATATCTCGATCGTCTGTTCGCTGTGTCAAAATTAGACATATATGGGTCCTTTCGTGTCTCCAGGTAAGAAAACACCTTTCATAGAAAAGCGCCAGGCTGCTAAATTAAAGTAGATCTAGACCCCCGTCATTAACATCTTCTATAAGCTTTAACATGTCATTTCCAAATGTATCAATATGTTTAAACCCGTCAGAGGAAATAAAATACAGCTGCTCCTGCCATACCGGTCCTTGTTCAGTCACTTCCTGCTATAGGAGACAGTCGTCTCCTGATTGTGCTCCCGGGTTGTCATTCAGTCACATGCTCCCCCTGGTGGAGACTACAAGCAGCCACGGTCCATCGTTGTCAGGAAGCCGGTTCAAAGCAATGATGTGCAGCCGGCCTTCCTGGATAGAGTGCATGTAGACAGGAAGAGCTCTTAGCCACCTGCGATGCTCTGGCTGGAAAGCAGGCGGCAGAGGAGACCAGTCCTGAACTCAACTCCTCATTAGGGGACGGGACTGCACCCATTGCCTGGGATGACCCCTTCTCGGAGATGGGGAAGGCAGCATGGCAAAGAAAAAGCATGTTTCACCGGTGTCCCTAAAACCTTCCAAAATGGACACAAGGGAGTCCAAGGATGAGGATGACACTGGAATACTCAAGGGGGAATCAGGAGATGGGAAGGATACTGCTGGCAATGGTTTGCTGGTGTTACATCATTGATCCCCTGCTCCTCCTGCTTTGCCAAAAATAGGGCATCCCTGTTCCTGCTGGCCCCCCCAGAGACATGACTGCCCCCCCCCCCCAGACATATTGCTTCCATCAGATGGTTGGATCAGATGGTTGGAACGTTCATACTTGTCTGTCTATGGCCAGATTTAGTATTACAGTTCTCCTGTTTCTGGATGCCGATGACCTATGTGTCTGTTTTTCTTCCTCAGTGTGGACTGGCCATCTTCCTCCTGGTCGGAGTCTCCTACCTCTTCCTCACCAAGCTCACGCTGTATGGAATCTTTGCCATTATACTATTCGAGGGGCTGCTGGGGGGTGCCGCGTATGTCAACACATTCAACAACATTGCAGTAGAGGTGAGTCCCAAGGTCCTTGTCCTACATCAACACCCGCTGTCTGCAGCAGCCAATCAAATTCCAGCTCTCTTTTTTTTAATCATTATGATTGATTGATGTTTGATTTCACATCTCCCACAGAGCAAACCGGAAGACAAGGAGTTCTCCATGGCGGCTGCCTGCGTGTCGGACACTCTGGGAATATCCATCTCCGGGGCCTTGGCCATCCCTGTTCATAACTACTTCTGTGGACTGCCGTGATGTCATCTGGCGTGCTGCAGAGGATTCTGGGTAGAAACTGGCAAATGCTCTACCACTGCGCTACACCACTTCGATTTGCTGCTATGGGTTGCAGTTGCTAAAATGTTTATATGATTTCTGAATGGTGTAATTATGTTTTATGGTTATAAACAAATATATACATTGTTTTATACTGAAATTGTGGATTATTGCCTTATTTCTATATTCACTTACCGCTCACTATGTCCTGCAACTATGGCAAAGGTATGACGTCTGCTGCTCCCAAGCCCTGAAACTTGTCACCCTCATGGAAGATCGTGTGCTGAACACCAGCAGTGGCTCCTCCTATGCTCCACAGACCATGCAAATCCAAGAAAAATGTAACTTTATTGTTCTGAACAACATGAACAAAGAGCTACTGCCTGGGACCTCCTACTCTAGGAAAGGAGGAGGTCCCAGGATGGACTCTGTTAATGTTGGTTGGATGAATAAAGTCAGCAGTGTTTGGAAATTGTTTGGTGGGGTTGTACAATCCCATGCAGCAACAAAGACTCAAGATAAAACCTACTAGAGGGGCACCTCGACTTGAACCTCTCAAACAGTAGTTGGATGCTTTAGCACTGAGCTATGACCAGCTGGATGTTGTTTATTAATTCCTCTACTTGTTTTATAGAGGACCTGGGGTAAAAGGGCAATGCCTAGGGCCTAGTCCGTTTGCAGGAAGAGTAGCTTACACTCAGACCTTCTTGAAGGGCACCTCAACCTGAACCAGGGACCTCTCAAGCTGTAGTTGAATGCTTTAGAACTGAGCTTTCACCAGCTGGAGGTTGTCTTTTAATCCCTCCACTTGTTTTATAGAGGATCTGGGGTAAAAGGGCAATTCCTAAGGCCTAGTCCCTTTGCAGCAAGAGTAGCTTAAACTCAGACCTTCTTGAGGGGGCACTTGGCTGTGCACCAGGTTTACAACTATTGCAGTAATCATGACTCAAGATTAAACCTACTTGACGGGGCATCTGGATTTGATCTAGGGACTTCTTGTTCTCCAGTCAAATGCTCCACCAATGTGCTATACCCCTAGAGACACTGTGTTCCTCAGGTTTTTGTTTTTCCCCATTTGGTATCCAGAGGAACTGAGGAAAAAGGGCAATGCCCAAGGCCTACTTCGTTTCCAACAAGTGGGGCTGAAATCTGAAGGCCGTTGTTTGCTTGAAAGATTTTTTTTTTCTGCTGGTTTCCTTAGAGGAAGTGGAGAAACATGGCAAGCCAAACGCTTAGTTCAGGGGTAGCCAAACTCCGGCCCTCCAGCTGTGGTGAAACTACAAATCCGATGGCATTGCAAGATTCTCACAGCTACGGGCATGACTCCCAGAGGGGGATGCATCATGGGATTTGTAGTTTCACCACAGCTGGAGGGCCGGAGTTTGGCTACCCGTGGCCTAGTTCCTTATGTGGTTCAAACTCAAACCTACTTGAGGGGTCATTGGGACCAGGGACCTCTCAGTCTGCACTTGTATGCTCTACCACTGAGCTATACCCCCTGACTTCTTATAATGTTTAGGTTGATTTATTTTCCTTCTTGGTTCTCAGAGGAACTGGAGTAAAAACGTCATGTCTCAGCCTCTTGCGGCAAGAGAGGCTTAAACTCAAACCTACTTATGGGCGCATTTGGATTTGGACCAGGTTCACATCTCTTACAGAAATCATGACTCCAAAAATAAAGTCACTTGATGGGGCACCCGGATTTGAACCAGGGACCTCTTGATCTGCAGTCGAATGCTCTACCACTGAGCTATACCCCCTGAACTGAAGATTTAGACTGATTATTTTTCTGTTTCCTTTTCAAAGATCCTTGTGCAGTACTTCTTGAGGGGGCACTTACATTTGGACCAGGGACAATCTGCAGTTGTATGCTCCACCACTGAGCTTTACCCCATCACTAATCTTTAGGGTGTTGTTTTCTTTCCTGCTTGCTTTCCAGAGAAAACTGGAGTGAAAGGGTGATATTCCTTTGCAGCTGGTGGGACTCAAATCTGAAGGCCATTTTATATGAAACGGACGCTATAAGCTTTTTATCATATTAGAGGGCATTTGGATGAGATTTATGTGTCTTGCAATAGTCATGACTCAACGATAAAGCAATTTGAGGGGGCACCTGGATTTGAACCAGGGACCTCTTGATCTGCAGTCAAATGCTCTACCACTGAGCTATACCCCCCTGAGATACCCTCAGGTTATTTTTTAGGGGGCACCTGGCCTAGTTCATTTCCTGCAAGTGGGACTGAAAGCCAAAGGCCATTTTATGTGAAAGGTCTAGTCCCTTTGCAATAAGAGTGACTCAAACTCAGACCTACTTAATGGGGTTCTCGCATTTGGACCAGAGGAACCTTGTTCTACTGCTCAGCTATACCTAGGGTTGCCACCTTTACTTCAAGCGAAACCCGAACACTCTAGCGACACGCAGACATATTTGTTGGGGAGAATGAGTCATGGCTTATTCATATGTAACAGGCACCACCCATTAATATGTAAATATCACAGTTGAGACTATTTTCAGTGGCTCCTATCTTAATTTTGGTTGCCCCCGCCTACCTGACATCTTGTGTCTGGGTTCCTGGTGCCATGAAACCCAGACACAGCATTCAAAACCCGAACTGTCCGGGTGAATCCCGGACAGGTGGCAACCCTAGCTATACCCCCTGACTTATTATAAACTTTAGGCTGATTTTTTTCATTTCCGCAGGCTTTCCAGAGAACTTGGTGTAAAAAGGGCAAAGTCCTTTGGCAGCAAGCTTGGCTCAAAAACTGATTTTCATGAGGGGGCACCTGGATTTGAACCAGGGACCTCTTGATCTGCAGTCAAATGCTCTACCACTGAGCTATACCCCCCTGGCTGATGAGAATTTTAAGGTGGTCATTTTCACCTGTATTCGGGGAAAATTGGAGAAAAGGGTGCAGTAGCAGTGGCTGAAACTCAAATCTACTTGAGGGGGCACTTGCGTTTGGACCAGGATTATGTTTCTTGCAGCAATCATGCCTCAAATGAAAACTTAAAGCGGTTTTTGCATATATATATATATATATATATATATATACGGCTAGCAAGCAGTAGATATATGCAAAATGATAAAAAAAACTTACCTGTGTCTCCGCCGCGCGCTCCCCGCCTAACATCTGTAAACTCTCGGGCGGCGGCAAAGGATCTTGGGGCAGGGCGTATGCGTACTTCAGATGTTCAGCCAGGAGACGAGGAGAGACACAAGGTAAGTCTATGGAGCAGCGTGCACCCGCGGGACATCGTGGGACAGGAAGTGCCAGCAAGGACAGAGGTGTCAGCGCTGGATCGGAGAACAGCAGCAGCGCTGGAGGGACAGCTAAAAACCACAGGAAAGAAGAGGATCGGATCAAGAGGCATCATTTAAGGTAAGTCTTTACATTAGCATTGTGTGTGTGTGTGGGGGGGGGGGGGCTTTAGCCTTTAATGTCACTTTAACTTCGAGGATTCACTTGAACTTCAACCAAAGGCAATTTGATCTGCAGCAAAGTATTAAACCACTGAGCCATAGCTCTCCTAGAGCAAGCACGGCTCCAAGTAAAACATTAGAGGGGACACCGGGACTTGGACTGGGGACTTCTTGATCTGTAGTCACATGCTCTACCACTGAGCTGTACTCCTTGGGCTTCTAATGCCCTAACAAAAATCCTAGTAGAGGCATTTCCTAAATGGGTGCACAGAAGGTTCAGTTTCCTTGCAGCAACCAAGACTCAAGCTCAACGCCGCTTCAGGAACCGAGGAGCTCTTGATCCTAAGTTAAATGCACGACCACTGCTCTATACCCTACCAGGGCTTTCCTGAGGTGATGTTCTCTTAACAATTCCTCAAAGGGTTTTTTAAAAGGGGCGACGCTACTGTATATGCTTCCATGTATAGGCAACAGGAAAGGAATATTATGATAGGAATTACTGCAACCAATGTGCTGCTAAAGCATTATTCTCTTTAGTCTGACCTTATGAGAGCGGGACCACCTGCATCCCTTCTGAGATAATCCATAGCCAGTTTTGACATCTGGACTGTTCCCAGGGTTATGTACGGCCATCTTCTACAAACCAGTGAAATTGTCATTTAAAGAGACCCTGTCTGCATGGAATCAATAACTATAATAACCTTTTGGTGGCCCATTTGTTTAAAAGCCACCAATTTAGTGTGTGGGATACCTGCTCCCCCACTGCGGTTTCATATGAGCCGGGTGGAAAAACCGCTGCATGCAGTGGGGTATATACCGTGTTTCCCCCGAAAATAAGACACTGTCTTATATTTTTTTGGGCTCAAAAAAACACACTAGGTCTTATTTTCGGGGTAGGTCTTATTTTTTTTTTTTTAATGTACAACAATCCACACTTATTCATGTACAAAAATATGGTGATCAGGGCAATCAGGGGCGCCGTGCCTTTCCAAGAGCAATTTGGTAACCAATCGCTGGCCAGAATGAGCGAAGCGCGCTTTCACTATGGATTCCTCACAGGCGGAAAGCATTTGGTATTACTCCGCCAGTGACGGGAGCCGGCGGCTATAGAAGAGGCACCGGCTTATGCGGCTCTGCTTCCTCCGCTGCCGCCTCACTTCCTCTAGTGCCGGCTTCATTGGCACCGCTGATTGTCTCCCGCCTCTCCCGCGGCTCTTCAAGTTCCCCCTTATGCCACCACCGGCCCTGTGAATGGTCACAACTAGGTCTTATTTTCGGGGTAGGTCTTATATTTGAGCAATTCCCAAAAATAGTACTAGGTCTTATTTCTGGGGTAGGTCTTATTTTCTGGGAAACAGGGTAGGTATTGAACCTACTGAATACTTGCAGCAGCCGGTAAACAGCAAAGAGGCGGCATTTCAACAGACGGGCCACTGAAAAGCATCTTTTATAATAGGCATGTCATTCTTTACAAGTGGCAGGGTGACAGTATGTATAGAGTTCACATCCTGACCTGAGATGACATATAGGGAATGCAGGGTCTGATGTGATCCACAAGGTGGCGACACATACGTATTCCTATTGACCATGCTTTAGAGCAGGGGTAGGCAACCTTAGCACTCCAGCTGTGGTAAAACTACAAATCCCGTCAGGCATTGCAAGACTCTGACAGCCACAGGTATGACTCCCATGGTGAGATTTGTAGTTTCACAGCAGCTGGAGTGCTAAGGTTGCCTACCCCATGCTTTAATGCATGGTCAATAAGAATAAGTAAGTGTCGCCACCTTGTGGATCACATCAGACCCTGCATTCGCTATATGTCATCTCAGGTCAGAATGTGAACTCTATACATTTCCTTCTGGAGCGTGACTTGTGGATAAGAATTGCTACATTGGGACTAGACAGAATGTACAGAGCAAGCAAATCATAAACCGGCTTCCCGGAGCTCAGCAGATACTCCTGTTAATCAGTTCTCAGAGGTTAATATGTATCGCTGTGCTGTGGGAAGCTCTTTGAACTTTATTTTTCACTGCAGAACCCAATCTGATTGCTAATACAATTGTGTGTGTATATTGGAGGAGTCGTTCTAGCCCGGGGGGGGGGGGGGGG